AGAGAGAGAGAGAGAGAGAGAGAGAGAGAGAGAGAGCTACTTTCCCCTGACCACAACGAACCCTTATAACAAATGTATACAAAATATCTTTGCGGTCTGGTGCAGCCAGAATGGCTTCGCACCCCGATGAGGAATGTATGGTCTGTTTTGTCCTCAAGTTTCCTGTTTCATGAAGGGGTTGATTGAAAGCGGTATGTTTTTTTTTTACCAGAGCGGAGAGAGGCATGGTCGACCCTATGACCCAGAGGTGACTGCAAACAAGGGATCTCAAGGGGGGTGCAGCACTGTTGCTTTAAAGAGTCGCAAAATGAGAATCTTCTTTTGGCTCTGTAAGAAATGTGGCCTTGCATTTTTCAGAGGTTGGAATCACAGGAATGGTTTTCTGACTGCATTTCAGATGCAGCTCTGATGAAGATCTACCAGAAGGGAAACTATCGTGTCGATCTTTGGCAATTTGGTGGCTCATATCTTTTTCAGCAGGACGAGTCGTTGTGCAGGAGCTTTCTTCTCCAGAATGCTACTACAGAGTTGCTTAGATTTGTCTCCGAGCTCCGAACGTGTGACTCATCCAGTTGATGTTGGTAATCAACATCCTTGAGGATACCCATGGAGGAATATAGGTGTTCACACTCTTGTGCTGGGCTCATCCCTGTTGTTCGCAAGCTCTTCTTTCTGTCCTGGGTGTTTGTGTTGCCTGAGATCAACCCCGCGCTGTACGCCCGGTCCAACTTTGTACGCCTGGTACGACCAAAAAGTACAAGGAAGAAAGAAAAAGTCAAACGGAGAGACCTCTTGTCGGTTGCAGGGTATGGTCACCTGATGGTCGACTGCTTTCCCATCCATGACAACAATCCATCAAACATCCTGATGGGCATGAGGCAGTCATTTTGTCTGCAGGGCAAATCGCTTTGGATGTGGGTTTTTGTACCAAGCATACGCAAACCACTGAAGGCACTCCTTAAAGTCGGTCTTCGGGGGTTTGACATGGAGTCGAAATGGAGTCGAAATTCAAATTGGAATTCAACTGGAATTCAGAGGGGCTTTGTTTAGGGAACTTGCATTGGGAATTTGATTCAAGAGGGAATCAGATTTTTGGACTCGAGCTTAGCACTTGGGTTAGTGCTGGGGGATAATGTACCCGGCGTTCCAGATTACGTATTGAATGGAGAATCATCAAGCACTATGAGATTCCCAGCTATGGTGGCTGAAGGGAAGAGTGGGCGTGCACGGCATCCCAGAGGACCTCTTTGACTGCAGAAATGCTAACCACTGTGATGTCACAGGCTATGGTTGCTCAAGGGAAGAGCAGGTGTCGTTTCATTCATTGCTGTCACCCATCGAGATATGGAGAATAAGGCTGAGAGAAAGGCAGTCTTTGACATGGCATGTGATGTCACAGGCTATGGTTGCTCAAGGGAAGAGCAGGTGTGGTTTCATTCATTGCTGTCACCCATCGAGATATGGAGAATAAGGCTGAGAGAAAGGCAGTCTTTGACATGGCATGGCCTGGCCTGTGCCTGCTTGACCATATGCATCAGGAGCCATAGGTGTGGTGTCTTACTTCCTTTCAAGGTGACTGCAAGACTTAGCCATTGTCTCACACAAGTGGGAAGGGAAGGTCTCATTTCGATCGAGGAGGCCAGAAGAAGAGACAGTGCGCTCTTGTTGATTGGATGCTCTGTCAGGAGCCGCGACTTAACTCATGGTGAGTGACCTCCTTATGATTATGAACACAAAACTATGGCTGCAAGGGGGTGTGTGGTGATGCTGAGCAATGTCGTTAGATGTGCTGGATCCCTCGCTCGGGGATGAAAAAACTGCTTCAACAGGGATGGGAACTGGGTCGGCCTTCCCCTCCTCTATGCCTTGGTTTGGGTTAAGGAGAGAGCGGAGGGAGGGAGAGGAGGGGAACTTGTATTTTGTGGTTTGCACCTTTAGATGCGACCGTCTATCCTGTGCTTTAGTGGATGGCATGTGAGGGGGACTTGCTGTGTGCCCTGTCTATTTTTTTTGGACCATTTCTTGATTTATGCGTATCATCCTTGTGCAGGATATCTTTTTTGGACCATTTCTTGATTTATGCGTATCATCCTTGTGCTCTGTCTATTTTTTTTGGCCTTTCACGTGTGGGGCACTGTGGTTATAAAATACTATAAAATCAAAATGTTGCAGGATATTTATCGGCCAACCGTTCATACCTGGGTGCATGGCTTGAAGTCTTCCATCGATATTCACGGCAGGCTGACTTGTGCTATAAGCAGTCTGCATCTCAAGGCTTGAAAACTTGAAATCTTTCCCTCTTTTGCCCTGTCGAGAAGGCGGAAAGGCGTTATGAACCTGGTTGTTTGTTGTCAGCAAACCAACACTTGCTCACATGGACTTCCAGGTATGCCCATACATACACAGAAGGAAGGGTAGAGGATGGGAGTATCACACCGAACAGGGAGAGATAGATACAGCGGAAGACTTGACCATGCGATATGACAGATAACACTGATACTGCAATTCGCTCCACAGAATCCTCACAACCAGTCACAAAGGAAAGCCGACTAGATCACATCCAGGAAACAATGAAGCAAAGTTAGTCCGCACACAGTATTCACACTGTTTATTAAACTCAGAGTCTCGAAATGTCTGAACAACCCCAGTACCATGGTGTGCTGCTCAGAAATGAGCAGCGCTTCACTCCCCAACCCTGAGTAATCGCTATTACTACCCCCCGAGCCCCTGAAACATTGAGCACCGCCCATATACTGCCTCCAGAGGGAAGCGCCACCCTGAAACAGGCCTCTGAGGCCAAGCGCCTCTCAGAGGATGAAGAAGAAGATCAGCGCCACGTATCTGATGATGACGAAGTGTCGGAAGGCTTCCTGGGTGGAAGTCTGCAGCAGTGCCACCACTCCTGACAAAGATGATCTCTGAGGACACACGCTGACACCCTACTCCTGAGGAGGGTTTCAGCAGGGCACCAACTTCTCTCGCCTCCAGCAGACTCCAGATAGCTCAGACCTCTGAACAGCGCCGCGTGCTGTCAGAGTCCAGCGTCGGTTGCAGCTATGGCTGACACTCCGCAGGTCCAGCTATGTCTGTCTTCGCCAACGCTGAAGCTGTCACCACTTCCAGTTCATGCGTTGCACAGCAGCGACGTACACGGTACCAACTGCCAAAAGCCCTGAACCGATGTCTACAATCTATCTATAGACTACCTAGCCTAGACACGACCTAGACCGGACCAACTGGACCGACCGGTACCGTTTCCGTTTCCGGCCTCTCGGCCTCTACGTGCCCGGCTATAGGCTATAGGACCGTCTATCAGCATAGGCCTTTAGGGCCTGTCTGTTCTAGGGGTAGCCCGGGCCTGCTATTCGCAGTCAGGGTAGCTGTAGGAAACTTCAGTTAGTATGGGCCTGTATTTTCCCGAATTTACAGATATGTCCCTCAATAATTTTTCCCTACAGGTAGGTCTCTCGGTTATCCCTCAGCCAAACGAAATTACGAATCTAACCTACCTATGGTACAGCCTCGGGTCGGCGGGTCACCGGCGACAGAAAACAGCAAGTCGTTGCGAAGAGGCCACTGGGTTGCCACCCCACTTAGCTATGAAGGGGATGGAAAAAAACAAAACAGAAAGAGGAGGGTTAAATTACAAGAATGAAAACAGTTTCAAAAAAAAAAAAACAGAACGAAAAATTTCAGAAAAAAGCCAAAACATAAAGAGGAGGGTTAAGCAAGCCCGCAAAATAATGGACATGGGGCCTCGTCAGACTGAGTAGATAAGTGAAGAGGGTTTTAAATCACCAGTACACGCCCCCAGGCTTGCAGAACAGCGAACTTGTCGCCACAAGAAAAATTCGGGGCGCAGGAAATGCCCGGTAGAGCGATGGGGAGAGGACGCCTGTGGGCCCATTGAGAACAAGCAAAGGTACAGCAAGTATTCCTGCTGGTTCACTCCGTGCATGCGTTTCCACATGCACGGACGCAGGATGTTGCAGAAAGCCTTTCGAAAAGGGAAAAAAAAAAAGAACAAACGCAAACGTAGTGCAGACAGTTGGTGGGCAGATGATACAATCGGGCCCGTCAGTGTTGTCAGCAGCCCGCATCTCAGGGCTCCTCGTGCAGCGCTTGCCGCGAGAGGCGGGCTTGGGAGGAACTGGTTCAGAAAAGCTCTGGACGTGATTGCAGTCAGATTAGTCCAGATCTGGCCTTGCAGCCAGATTCGGACGAATCTGACTGCAATCACGTCCGGAGCTTTGAAAACGACATCCTAGTGAGAGTATGCCCTCAGCTCGGCTACTTCGGAACGAGTCTTTCGGCTACTTCGGGACGAGTCTTTCTCTTGTCTAGATTCGTTGCTGAGGCCGTACTCACAGTGTAGGGCATGTTTTAGGAAGCTCAGGGCATTTTTTAGGAAGTTCTGGACTCGATTGCAGCCAGATTCGTCCAGGTTTGGCCGCAGTTGCAGCCAAATGCAAGTAGGGCGAGGCCTGGACGAATCCGACTCCAATCACACCCAGAGCTGTGTTGCAAACGCCCTTTGTCCCATCATTGTCATTCGTCCTCAACTCTCATGGTAGGAGCCGTGAGAGCCGGGCTCCTGACAAAAGTGATGGGGCGTTATGTCCCCACTCGTCTCTTTCTTTTTTTTTTTTGTTCCTTTTTATTCCGCCTGGGCCAGATACAGTGGCTAGCCTTGTCCATACGTACCCCCATTTCTTCTGCCAATTCTTTCTTTTTTCTTCCTTTATTATAGTTTCTCTCTCTCGCAGTGTTGGACCCGCCTACGGTCGGCGGCGCTCGACTGGTCGGCACCTACCGGTCGAGGGTCATCGGCACCCCGCATTTTTTTAATTTTTTTTGGGGGGGTCCAGAACCCCTAATAACGCCACCAACACCCCATAGCGGCCCCCAATACCCCCATACACCACCCCAACACCCCCGAACCGCCCCCAACACCCTTATTAAACCCTCCATAATCCCCTATATCACCCTTATATTCCCCCTATACTCCAACCCATACCTGCGGTGCATAGCGCATACACTCGCATGCGCGCGCACGTGATGCAGCGCACCCCAATAAATAGGGTAAAAAAAACAATCTGGAGAGGGCTGGCTGAGGTAGTCTATGGCACCCCTCCCTCCCTTCGAAATTATCGAAGGGCACAGAAAAAAAAATGGGCCCACATATTCCTTGTTGAATAGTCTTTTTCCCGAAGGACCCCAGCAGTCTTTACCTATCACTACCTTTTTGTGAGTGGACTACTTCTATTCCTCTTCTTCGAACTATGTGGTGGAGGAGGTCGGCTCGTCGAACGAAGACGAATAGTAGAAGTCTACTCTCAATGACTATGGGGTTGGGTTAGGTTGTTTTGTCTACTGTTCGTATCTTCCGAGCTTATGTGGTGGAGGAGGTCGGCTCGTCGGAAGATGATGAAGAGTAGGGGGCTGTGGGAAAGAAGGAGGGGTTGCTGAGGATTTCTGCGTAGGCTGTTCTCGGGGTAACAACCCTTATCTCGCGAACTATGTGGTGGAGGAGGTCGGCTCGTCGCGAGATGAAGAAGACTGCTGAATGCTGCTGCTCGGTGTGAGATCCTGTGAACTCGTCTTTCGCTGCTGCTCTTCATCTGGCGAACTATGTGGTGGAGGAGGTCAGCTCGTCGCTGGAAGAAGAAGGCAGTGGAGAGAGTTTGCAAGTAGATGGGTGGATATTACGCGTCCTACTAGTGAGGGGGCTAGCTAGTAGGATAGGAATAGGGCACAGCTAAGTCTTGCTGGAGTGGGGTAAAGAGGCTTTTGAGGAGGTTCAATGAGCAGTTTAATGAGCAGTTGGTTAAACGTTTGTAGTATACGCAGGTCTTCTAATTTTTTTTTTTAAGTTCTCATTCTAGCAGGTTCCTAGTGTCATTTTCAGGAAATTTTCTGATGAGTTTTCTTAACGTACTCGTTATGGGACACTGGGCCCGGTTCCCAGTTTGTGCCAAATTGTGAGGATATGGTTGTATCTATGGGACGCTGGACCCGGTTTCCAGCAGGTGCTGCTCCCCATCAATAGATGGAGCTTTAAAAAAAGAAAAAAGAAAAAAAAAAAGGCCAGCAATACATGTTCTGGATCCGAAGTCAGGTCTGCTTTCCAGCAGTTATGGGTTACAACTTACAACTTACAAGTTACAACTACTTACTACCCTACCTCTCTCTTTCTTTTGTTTCGTTTTCCTACGAGCGGTGGCCGTAAGGGCCTTTCTCCACTCGTCACTACTTGCACAAATGACAAAACATATGGCGGCGTATGGTTCCATGTTCTAGCAGAAGATTCATTCCTCTGTTTCTTTTGTTTCCTTTTCCTACGAGTAGTGGCCCTAAGGGCCTTGCTCCACTTGTCACCACTTGCACAAAAGACAAAACATATGGCGGCGTACGGTTCCATGTTCTAGCAGAAGATTCATTCTAGTTTTGCACCTTTGGTGAGTAGTGGAGGGAAGCCCTGAAAAGCACGTGGTGAGTTGGCCTGCTACTGCCCATAAGCTCGCGTGCTCAGTGGTCCCATAACTGCTGAAACACGGACCTTAATGTGAATCAACAGCATATATACTTGGCGTGCCATAACTCTAGCATGGCTATGAGCATTGCCTCGTTCATGGTGAAGTGGCCCTTACTAATTATGCGCAGGGGCCTCTCGGATAACCCGCAGGGGTTTTTCGAATAAATGCTAAGGAGCAGTTTGTGTACTCTCTCTCTCTCTCTCTCTCTCTCTCTCTCTCTCTTGCGTGTTCTC